TTTTTTTTTTTTTTTTTTGTGCCCCCAGATGCTTGCTGGAAGGATTTTTTTTTTCTTGATGATTTTGCTTGTTCAATAAATTTTCCCATTTGTTTGGACTGGCGCCAGCCCAGCCTGGGGCATGCTGCTGCGGTAGTTCCCCATGGGCAATACTGGGCTGGTTTGCGGCTGGTGGTGTTCTCCGTGCCAGCACAGCCCTCACCCAATTGTAAGTCACTTATCCGTGGCGAGGGGAGGGTTGGAGACCATCCTGCTGCCCTGCCTAGGGAAGCCGAGCTGGTGGAGCCCATCCACTAGAGACCTTCCTGACCCTCCAGCCCCTCGGGTGGGATTTGTCCCGCGGCACCTTGCTGCTCCGTAAAACATCCCAAGACAGTGTCTTCGCCCCTCCATCATCTGGCCAAACGCTCGGGCCAGGACCCGGCTGCCTCCCGTAGGAACCACCGCAGCGTTTCTGCTGAGCCGGATTTCCAGGTGTGTCTGCAGCGAGGAAAGGAGCCGAGTCTCCTCGTGCTGCTCTTACTCATCCTTTCTTTTTCATGCCTCTGCTGATCTCTTCCCGTCTGTGAAAGACTGATTATTGGGAAATGCCTTGGTTCTGGTTTTCTTTTGTTTCTCGGCCAGATGCTTTCTGAGCAGGAAGGAGAAGTCTAGCAGGATGTTGGGGTGGTTTAGTGTGGGTTTTAGGCCTTTTAGCGTTAGAAATAATTTATTGTCCACAAAACTCATGGAGGTCTCGGAGCTTGGCTCCACTGAACAGCGATGGGATGTCAGTTCACTCTTCATTTCCTTGCGGTACTCAAATTTGGTTGAAAACAGCGGAGGGATTCCCGCTTCACGCTGTCACCTCTGCTCTCCTCTGAAAAACAGAAAAAGCAATGAAGACTTGAAGAAAGCAAGAGGGGAAAAAAGAAAAAAAAACCAAACCAAAACAAACCAACCAAACTTCTCCCATTTTAAAGCCGCGCAGGCTGAGCACCGATGGAGGTGAATAATTCCTTCCACCAAAAACACAAAAACAACCAAGCCTTCTCACCCCTTTCCAGCAGCGGAACAAGCGAGCGGTGTTTTCCCCTGATCACCTCCCTGAGCGCTGGAGCCTGAGAACAAGGATTGGGCTTTTCCTCGGTGAGTTTTTAAAGACCACCCATACTCCTCCTCCTCCTCCTCGCTGTAGATCCCGCGCGGCTATTTTTTTTTTTTTTTTTTTTCTGCACTGGTGGGCGTTGTGGCCGTGAGCACCGGTGCCCGCTGGCTCTCTGGATGAGCTTCGCGCTGGGTCCCAGCCCCACGGTGCTGGGATCGAGCAGCAGCAGTCGGAGTGTTGTGTGGGTGGAGCAGCGGCTTGCCTCCCCCCTGCTGCAGTAGCAGGGTTTGAAGGCTCTGTACAGCCCGGGGAAGCTGTTACCGTACGTGATTTATTTTTTTTTTTTTCAGGTTATTTCCTCTTGGTGTTGGGTTAAGGACTGTGGCACACTGTTGCAGTTCTGGTAGAAACTATAAATTGATTTTCTGTTTCCTCCTGCAGGTCTTCGGGGCTGTCTCTAGTGAAGCATTCACGACTCGGCACTTTGAATACTTTCCACTCAAGAAAATAAAAAACTCATTCAGCCAAAAAACAGGAAACCCATGATCCTGTGCAACATCTCAGATCTGAGTACACCTGCTCTTATAATGAGCACAGCAGATACTAACTCCACTGCAGCAGGGGCTCCGTGAACCAAGGCATGGGCTGCAGCGTCTGTCTCTGGCTGCTGATCTCTCTCGGCCGTGTGTGGGGTAGGTATGCTTGCCCTTCGTTGAAATAACTCGCTTCAGATTGTTTGGGGATTTTTATTTTTTTTTGTCAGAGATTAAGACCTTTCAAAATCGTGAGCTGTGTGCCAGGCGGATGATTGAGTATAAATATTCATCTAGAAGATAAATGGCTCGCAACTCCAAGCTGGATGTGTGGTGCATCCCTAATATGCTTCGACTAGTCAGGCTGAAGGGAAGAGAGAATAAAAGATGATGAATGAACAAAGACGGTGATGGACAAAGTGTAGCTGCAATAGTGAAGCACTCTACTGTGTGTTTTAATAGGGTATTAATAACACCGAGGAAATAATTTAGTACCAGATGGGAGTGGGGGCACTTGAGAGGAAGGTCCTTGGTGGATTGTGTCACTCTCTGCAATACCGAGTGTCTCGGATCAAGACGTGCCGGTGGGCTGGGAGATGATGCCCAAGCGATGAAATGTGTCTAAGGCGAGTGGAACGGGACCGGCGGCGGGGCAGTGCCCGTTTTCCGGGTGCCTGGAGAGCCCTGGCCAGCTGTGGGTGGTGTCCTGGAGACGAGTCAAAATCTCCCCCAGAGCCACTGGTGAGGGAGCGAGGAGCACCCAGACCCCCCCAGGCCTCCTGGGTCATCTCCTCCCAGCCCGTCAGCAGTTGCTGCGAAATTGGGTTTTGTGGCAGCGGAGCCTGCGCAAAAACGCTCGGGTGAGTCGCGGCCTCTGAGCAGAGTCAAGGGAGCTGAGACTAATCCTGACCCTCCTCCTGGTGCCAGTGATGCCCTTTCTCTTTCCTTGTGTGTCCCCACAGCCCCATGAGCCCTCTGCCACCGCATCGGTGTAATTACTGGCTGTCGAACGAAGGGCTCGTCCAGGAAACCAGAGACTTGGGCAGAGCCGGGGTTTCTCCTCAGCTCTGCTGGTTCAGTCTTACTAGAATACCTGCCTTTAAAATCTCCCCGGGGTTTTCTGCCTGGCCAGAGCACTGGAAGTCCCATGAGCCCGACTCCTGACGCCAGGGCTGCTCCGGAGCCAGCGCTGGGCCGGTGCAGATCCCTTTTCTTCCTCCAGCCCTTACATCGGGGCTTCGGCATGGACGGGCTCAGACCTTTTCACATCCCTCCTCCTGCAACCTTGCTCCAGCCGAGTTGTCTTCCCTGCCAAGGAGAAGCTCCTCGCTGGGGCAGAGGGTTTTTCTAACGTGATGCAAACAAAGGGCTTTTCCACTTGGTAATTAACGAGGAGCCTAAACCGCTGCGTGTCAAGAGGCCGTATTGCTGAGTAAAATACGGCGTCGAGCTGCGCGCTGGGTTTTACAGTAAAAGTACCAGCAAAACACGGAAGAGGCAGCGGGTGAGCCAGGCCGTGGGGTTTCTGTGGGATGAAGGCTCTGTCCGCACGGCTGCTTCGATGCTGGGGGGATGGAATTGGCAGGGACAGCTCAGAAACGGCTGCGTTTGGTACTACAGAGGGGGAAAAGATGAGCGGGCTGTCAGATGTGGCTTTTACTAGAACCACATGTGCTGCAGGAGAGACACTGGGCTTCTCTGGGCCTCCCCAGACCTGTTCTAGGGTAGCTCCCCCCCTCTCTTTTTTTTTTTTTTTTTTTTTTTTTTTTTTTTTTTTTTTTTCTCCCTCTCTGGGGCAAAGCCTCACCCTGATGGAAAGAAGTCAGTAGGAAACAGGGGGGTGACGCGGTGGAGTCCCTTCCACGGTTCCATTGCTGGTGGCTGGCAGCAGCGGTGAGCTGGCACCTCTCCCCACGCTGTTTCCTACAAAAGCAAACGTTTGCCCGGGTGTGCGGGCAAATATGAATCACTGCCTTGCAGCAAAAGCCAGGAAAGGGTTTGGGGGAGAAGACCCTCCTGCACGCTCTCCAGGAAATTCAGGTGGTTGAGATGCCGTGGGACACGTGGGCGATGTTTGCACTCCTCTTCTTGAGAGCACTTTTCCATGGTCACCGAGAAACACACCTTGGACCACCTCAACCAGGAGGACAACGTGGGGTTTACACCTGAGCCCACCTCCAGGAGGTCACGCTTCCCGCAGTTTCTACAAGGAAAGTCTCACTGAAGCGCGCGAGGGACGCTTTGGCCAAGAGCCACCGAGCATCGCTTCCCTCTGGTGCCACCAGGACTTCTCCAGGCTGGTCCCACCGCTGCCAGCGCCCTTCTCCCAGGACCAGCAACCCCACCAGACTGGGACTACAAGCGCCTTGCCCCGCTTGAGGCAGCCCCACTCCGTGGGGGTGATGTTCCACTGTCGTTGTGCCAACAGAAAGCCCAGAGCCTTAAATCAGGCTTTGGCCGCCAGCGGTGCCTGACAGGGGAGCGTGTGGCGGCTGGTGCAAATGAAGACTTTGTCTCCTCGCTCTGGGAAGGCGAGAGTGGGGAGGAAGAGCAGAGGAAGGCGACGCTTCGTGAGCCAAGCCATCAACCCCCATCCTTGGGGGTCAAGGGTGTGGGGCTGAGAGCTGGGGGTCGCTCCCTTGGTTTTGGGGACGGTGCTGCGGGGTGGGTGTGGGGCAGAGCTCGCGCTGAGCCCTGATGTACAGCAAGGCTCCTGTTCACGGCTGCGGGATGCGGTGGATACCGTGTTTTCAAGCTCTTGGTTTAGATAATCTGATCAATTTTGGATGATTTATCTCATGAACCCAAGCTGTCCCCAATCTGCGGATTATCAGGGTGGGTCCGATGCTGTTGCTGGCAACTGCAGCTCTGCAGGCATCTGCCCTCCTCAGGAAGAGCCGGGATGGGCAGGGACGGACACTCCGAGACCCCTGTCCCTCCCTGCCCGCCTCAGCCCTTCTCTCCAATCTCCTCCCAGGCACAGGCCGCGGGGCGAGAGAGACGGTTCTGGGCACTTTGGGGAAGGCGACGATATTGTGGATCCCCCCTGAACTCCAGAACCTCACCCTGCGCTTTGGGGCGGCTGTGTGGAAGCGGGACACGGACGACCCGCAGAGGAAGCTCGTCCTGCTGAAGTACGCGGACGGCAACTACACCAACTACATGCAGGGCCGAGCGCAATTCCACGAGTCGGATTTTTCCCTGGAGATCCTGAACACCAGCCGGCAGGACCAGCAGTTCTACGAGTACATAGTCAGCAAGGGGCCGGAGGAGAAAGTCTGGCAGATACAGCTGGAGGTGTACGGTGAGACCTGCTGGGAGGAGCGTGCCGGGTGCTCCCAGCCTCCTGCGGTGCTGGGAGCGGGTCTGGGAGGTGGGTGGTGGTCAAGGAGCCGGGGGG